GAGGGCAATGGATCCAATAGCCCAGCACTGCTGCTCTGATCTCAGGCCGGTCTCTCCTGCCTCTGCTCCCAGTGGCCTCCTCCACTTCAGATACAAGTCTTGGATGTGCTCTTCCAAATGGATTGTTTCTCTGTAGCCCAGATGGTCTGCTCTCGCCCATAGCGACCTGATGCAGCAGAATGAAGCCCCGCCCAGTCCTGCACCATCCTCACCATTGTTCCCATGCTTGAGCCCACTGTGGTGCATACTGTGTCAATCCATCCCTTGGAAGGCTTTCCTCTTCTTAGCTGCTCCTCTACTTTACCAAGAATGGTCCCTTCTCCAGGGACCAGCCTCTCCTGATAACATGTTCAAAGTAGGTGAGATGAAGTCTCACCCCCCTTGCCTCTAAGAACCACTTTGGTTGTCCTTCTTCCAAGACAGATCGGCTTGTCCTTTCAGCAGTCCATGGTACTTTCAATAGTCTTTAGCATCACAATTCAAACGCACCAATTCTTCTTTGGTCTTTCTTAGTCAATGTCTAACTTTCACTTGAGACAATTGAAAAGAAAATGGCGTGGGTCAGGAGCACCTTGTCCTCAAAGTACTGTCCTTGCTTTTCAACCCTTGAAGTCTTGTGCAGCAGATTCCCTCGTTCAACTCGTCTGCCTCTCCTGACTCCTACTGCCATGAACATTGATTGGGATCCAAGCAAAACAAAACGCTTGACCATGTCAACCTTTTCTCCACTTATCATGCTGTTATCTATTGACCCAGTTGCGAGGATTATGGTCTTCTTGAAATTCAGTTGTAATCCCTATCAAAGACTGCAATCCTTGACCTTCATCAGCAAATGCTTCAAGTCTTCCTCACCTTCAGCAAGCAAGGTTGTGGCATCTGCATATCTCAGGTGGTTAAGTAGCCTTCCTCCAATCCTAATGCCACACTCTTCTTCATATAAGCCAGCTTCTCTGATTTGTTCAGCGTACAGGTTAATTATGGTTAGAGTTCAACCCTGCTGACTGAAAGTCATTTCTCCACATATAAGAACCATATTGCATCTTATAAAGAAATAGAATTCTTATATACTGACTGATGGAGGTGCAGTTTGTCTTCAGTTGACCATACCCTCCCCCTTCAAAAAAAAACCCCAAAAAGATGGTGTCTTAAGTCTCACGTTCTAGTAAAGTAGGAAGATGTCCCCAAGGGAAGAGCATGATTTGGTTTACACTACGCTAAGATAGTCTAAAGATGCCCTCCAGGACATCCTCTATAAGGAGTCTGGCAGCAGCAACAGGGACCAAGTTGGAGGTAAAGTAGGCATGGCCATCGCAGAAAGGACTTGGGGTGTGGAGCATGAATTTGACCCCAGGACAGGGTGGAAGCATCTGAAGACTGCAGGGACTGCCCAGATTTGTGACTTGGATGGAAGGGGAGCCAGATACCAGTGCAAGGCCTTTAGGGTGCTGTTGCAGAAATATTCTAAGTGCGGGGGGGGGGGG